TCCTTGCCCATTGAGGGAACTGCCCTGTGGGGAGACAACCGTTTGGAGATCCTGAAGCGTGCAAAAGCACTGCTCTCGGGACTCTCACGCCACGAATCAACCTGACGAGAGTGCGAGGCGCTTAGGTGAGAGCTACATTTTGAAACGGACACAGCCTCAAAATATGATGATCTTGCAAACTTATGATGATCTTGCAAACTTTGAAGACGAATGTGCGCGGGGCTGAAGCGAGAGCCACATTTTGAAAACGGCCCGCCCTCAATCCGTGAAATTCTTGCAATTGTTTAAAAGTGTGGCGCTGAGGCGGCCTCCAAGGTTTCCGATCTTGGCATTCTCTGGGCCGTCGGCACTCAGCAGTGTCCTCCGTGCCCCGATTGTGCGGTGACCTGCCCTTCAGTGACCTGTGCGACTCCGGCTATCAATAATACTTGTCCGACCTTCGCCTGTCCGCCGGTGGCTACATCCAACAGTGGCCCTTCTGGATTGACAGGTGTGGTGGGATTCGTGTCATGACTCATCTTCGGCTTCACGGTTCTCGTGTGTGCTGGACTGGCTGGGAGTTGCCCTCCCTGCTCTCGGAGGGCGACGGGTTCAGCGACGCTGGAGGACGACAGTACACGCGAGCTCGCCTTGAGGCAGCTGTCTCGGTGAAGTGGTGCTGGTCAGGTATGACTTGCCTGGCCCCGCGCTCTGGCATGAGCGTCTCATCTTAGCTGTCGCTCCCCAGCCCAGATGCTTCGCGGTTCTGAGTTCCGATGAGGATATCTATGTTGAGCATCTCAGAGCGGATTGTGATAATCTCGCAGAGTTGGGGAGCTCTCTTGGTCTGAGGGGAGTCCCACCTGGGATCGCCGCTGCCCAGATATACCGTTTCAGGTCGGTCCCGACGCCTGACGAGATGCTGCAGCTCGTGAGGGACGGGGCGCTCCAGGCAGGCGTCCCTTTGCCAGCAGCTCCCGTGGTGCCGGTTGTGGCTGGCGCCGCGGTGGGCGCAGCACCTGTCCAGGCTGCGCTGGGCCCCCCTGCGCCCCTTGCGGGCGCCCTCGTCCGGGTGGCCCCCGTGCTGGGTGTTCACCTTGGCCCCGCGGTGGCGCCGCTGCCCTTGCAGACGGCCGCGATGCCTCCGGGTGTGGTGGCGGCTGCCGCTGTTCCGCCAGGACATGGCATGCCCGCGGCTGCGGCTGCTCAGGGTGGCGTGGCGCCGCTGGTGTGGGTCGCAGTAGAGGACCTACTCGACATCTCCAAGTGGACGCAGATCATGGCGCTTCCCCCCGAAGCGTTAGTTGCTGGAGACCGGGGGGGTATTCCTTGGGGTGCTGGACATCTTCTCGTTCGCCGTATGCCGGAGGCTGATGTATACCGTTTTGTGCATGACGATTTCAGAGTGCTTCCCATCACGCTAGACGCAGCTGGTGAGAGGAATATCAGTTTTGCGGAGGCGGCGTCGGCCATGGAACCTACTCCTCGTGGAGGCATCGGTCTCCATGGGCCTGCGATCACCTTCTGGCAGTTGAAGCAGATTCGACATGACGACTCCAACCCAATCATCATCATGAGAGGTGGGTGCGCTCCGGGCGAATTCCTGACGGTGATCGTTCAGTGTACGAGCATCAAGTATTGTGTAGGATCCTGGACGCTGTGGCTACATGCGATCAGTTGAATCTTCCTTCGATGAAGTGGGCCGAACTAGTTTGCAGACGCATGAGCTTGATCAAGGAGGCCCACAGAGCAGCCCCCTCCAATCCATATTATTGCGCTGGAGACTTGCTCATGGGGTGGGTTCGCAAGCAGCTGGTGGCGGGACCAATCCCGCGCGGGCGCAGTACGTCGCAGGCCAGCTGAAGGACCAGGCGGCGATCGCCAAGGAGAGCAGAAAAGCCCGCGAGGAACAGCACGCCAGAGGACGTGGCCGTGGCCGAGGACGAGGCCGCGGCGATCGTGGTGGCTTGGATCCCGCGGGCGAGGACGGATGAGCCCCGCCCCCCCCTCTCCCGAGGTGCGTGACCGCCCCTCGGGCGGACCTTCGGGCCCAGGCGCAGGTCTTCGTGCTCATCTACATCAGCGCCAGCCTCGTCCTGCGGAGGTATTCGGGCCTCTCCGCGCTCATCGTGTCGGTCAGGCGGTTGCAGGCGACAGGCCGCGTGATGTGTTCCCCCTGCCTCCTGTCGATGCTGGACTACGCGTCCCTGAGCCAGATATGTCTTCTCTAAGGGCACTCCGCTGGCGAGACAGGAAGCCGCGCGCAGCTACTGACGTCTGCGATGTGCTCAACGAGGTGCACGGCGTCGGCCCCGCGGACGCGTCGCCCAATCTAGCCCAGGAGGAGGCCCACCATCAGGTGCTGAGCAATATTGCTTCAGCCCCCGGCAGGGGTAAACCTGCAACTCCCCCGCATGATGCCTTTTGTGAGACCATGCGCACCGACCTCTCCTACGCTTCGGAGGAGGTCTCGAGTCGCGCCAGGCCCTCTCGCCTCAGTCGGGCGCAAGGGCGGCCAGGCTTGAGGGCGCTTGAGACTTTGAAGGGCGGCGAATTTTGCTCGGGGGGGCCGATCGCGCGCTTGAGACCCCATAGGGGTGGGGGGAAGTAGTTGAGACGACTGCTCATGCCACTCCCTACTTCGATGAGTTCTTGCGAGCAGATCAGATTGCGTATGCAGGTTTTGTGAAAGACTTGTTTTCGGCGGGTATCGTTGAGCTTTCGTTTGCAATTGAGGATCACATAACTCCATTCTTCGTTGACAAGAAAGGTGTCGCCCTTCGCATGGCCATGGATTGCAGAGGTCCGAGCCGTCGTTTCAGGGTGCCACCTCGGATGGGGTTAGCGACGGGCACCGCGCTCGCTCGCTTGAGCGCGCCTGTAGGGGAGGTGTCGTACGGCGCGCTCTCTGACGTCAGCATTATTTTAATTGGCTCGTCTTGCCAGACTGGCTGCGCAAGTACTTCGCCCTCCCGCCCGTCAGTTTCAACGAGGTTCGTGCATGGGAAATCCTACCGCAGGGCCTCGACAAGCGTGATGTTCTTCCTGGTGAAGTTTGTCCAGTTATGCGCGTGCGCCCACAGGGCTGGTCTTGGGCGTTCTGGTTCGCGCAGCGCGCTCGCGCGCATCAAGTGCTTCTTGGGGCGGGGCTGTTTGCGGATAGAGTCTTGGAGGAAGATGCACCCTTCCCGAGCCTAGACGCCGGCCGTGGTCCCAGTGGTTCCCCCATACTGCGACATCCTTATTCTCGTGGGCATCGACAAGAACTCTGCGGGCATCTGCAAGAACCTCGCAGTGGAGCAGCTTGGACGTGTGGGCTTCCAGGTACATGAGGGGGTGGATGTCTTACTGGCATGTTCGAGTCCCTGGGCTACCTTGTTGATGGGGGGTGCGGGGGGGGGGGGGGGGGGGGGGGGCGTTTTCCCCGCCCCCCCCCCGCCGCCGGGGCAGCGTTCGCTCGCCTGGCGAGAAGGCCACGCGTCGCAGGCTGGTAGATAAGTAAGGCTCTCGGCTACGTCGCGCCGGTCTTCGCTGTCACCCGCTCGACGTTCTCGTTGCCCAATGACTTGCGCCAATTCGCGCGCGAGAACAGGAGTCGCAAGAGGCGGCTCTGGAAATCAGCGGCGCAGGAGTGCAGGTGGATCAGTGTCTTGCCGCCGCTCGCCTGGGCGGACTTGCGGATGCCGCGGGTAGCGCAGGTGAAAGTCACGGGTGCCTCTCTGTCGGGTTATGCTGTTGGGAAGTATCAGTGGAATGTGTCCGATGTGCTCGCAACTGGCACTGCGAGGGATAGGTTCCGATATCTCGTGCTGTTCCTTCGCTCGCACCACGGCTTGCTGCGCTCGGCCCGCGGGGCCCCTTCAGTGACCTCGAGGCGGCGAAGCCCATGGTGGGCCGCATCGAGCCCTCGCCTTGCGGGCCCAACTTCCCTTTCAAAGAGATCCCTCAGGGCCTCCTGGTGGGCTCCATGTGGAAGACTAGTTATGCCGCGCCGTTCGTTCTTCCCGGAGGGAATTGGGGGCCTGGGGTCGAGGGCCGCTCTGCCTGGCATCCAGCGTGCCTCGAGGGCGTCTGGAGGTCTTCGATCGCACCACCTACATGTTGGGCATAACTTGGGACATGTTTCGGGCCGGGAGAAGGGCCGCGCGAGGGATTTCATTCGCCTGGTATGTTGTGGGAGGATCTGTGCACTGGAACTGGCCACCTCGTCGCGCACCAACCATCGCGGGGTTCTCTCGGGGCGAAATCCGGTTGGCGAGGGGTCGCGCCTCCGGGGGCACTTGGGGCTCAAGCATGGGGGGGGGGCCTGGAGCCTCAGGGCGTGGGCCGTCTGCCTGCAGCCCCAACCGGGAGGCCTGCCCCCCTTCTTTCAGGCCACCTCCCAGACTTTCAGACCCAGTCGCGCAGGCAGGCCAGCCGCTCATCTCGGCGGGGCCTTCAGTCTGCCCCCCGGCGTGCGTCGAGGACGTCGTCGACCAGAGTGGCGCGGGCGTTGGGGGCCAGAGAGAAGGAGAGACTGGCGAGAGGCGCTCCGAACAAAGAGGCCAGGGCGAGGCTGCGACGAGAGCTCGTCGGATCGATCGGCATCGCGGCGGCGGGCGCTCCTCAGGCACATGTAGAGACCTTCCTGGGGGCGAACGAGGTCTCGGAGAGGGCCCGCGCGATGTGTGTCAAGAGGGTCGCCGACTTCGAGAGCTGGGCGGCCTCCAGGGGCCTGCCGCTTGCCTCGGCCATGGCGGTCGACTGCGCGATGGTCGACTACCTGAATCACCTAATCACCTGTGGATCGAGGGAGTAAGCGTCGGAGAGGCCGCGGGGGCGCGCGCCGCGCGGGCGAAGCTCGGGCAGTCCTTTTCCGCGAGGGGGCCCGACAAGCTGGTCCGCGCCATGAAGGCGCTGGAGGGCTTCAACAGGCTGGATCCTGGCCGAACTCGCCCCCCGCCCCCCCTCGCCTTCGCGGCCCTGATCGCCGCGGGGCTGCTCGGAGTGAACCGATTCGACATGCTTTGGCAGTCTTGGTGATGTTCTCCGCCTACTTGAGGCTGGTAGAGCTATTATCTCTACAAGTCACCGACGTGCTGGTCCTAATTCCAGGCAGCCCCTTCTACGCCGCCCACTTGCGCCGAGCGGGGAGGGGCCAGCCAAGCGAGGTAGGGCTGTGCGACGAGACGCTGCTGCTGGGCTCCTCGGCCCCCCCGCTCCGAGGGCACCTTCTGGTCGCGCGCCGGGTCGCGGCTGCAGGGCCGGCGCTGTTCGACTTCGACTGCCGGAGCTTGAGCGAGAATTTCAAGGGCGCGGGCAAGAACTGCGTGCCGTCGGCTAGAAGGCCCGACCTGACCTCTATCAGCTCAGGCGCGGGGGCCCATCCCACGACGTCATGGATCGTTTCCGCTCAGAGGCCGGGCCAAGGACAGTGGCCGCTGGGGGGGCGACAGGTCGGCGTTGAGGTGCGAGGCTCACGGTGCGCTGCAGCTGCAGGAAAAGCTCGTCTCCGAGGAGACACGGAGCCGAGCTCTCCATTGCCTGCAGGATGTAGAGGCAAGGCTTCCGTCAGACACGCCGCAGTCAACCCGCGCCGCGCTCTCTTCAAAGGGGCTTCTCGCGCTCCGCCTCTAGGGGGGGGGGGGGTCGATTCGGAGGCTCGGGGCGCGATGGGCGGTCCAGCTGCAGATGTCCTGCAGTCTCGGAATCGGCGCAGGCTTGTAAAACAGTTCAAGAACGGAGAAGTAATTGCATTGTTGGCGGCCCTTCCTTGCCGGACCTGGACGCGCGCCCGAAAAGATGGCGGGGGGGGGTCCTGGGCCATTCAGAGACGACAGGCGGGTAACAGACTGTGGTCTAGCACTTTCCGCATCATATGCAGGCTGGCCGTTCTTGGGATTCCGATTATACTGGAGAGCCCGTTGACTTCTCGGCAATGGTTTACGAAGCAAGTCAAACATCTTGAGCGGGAGGTCGGGGGGCTTATCTTGGAGGCTCATTGCTGCCAATGTGGTGCTCAATGGGAAAACCCACGGGGTTCTTGGTCGCCAATGTGGGGCCCTTCTTGGACCTCCATAGGTGCGCTGGGACTGGTGGGCGGCGTTCAGCTACCGGGCGCGAACATCTGCATCTCGCGGGGAAAGACGTCGAATGCCACTTTCGTATCAGAAGGGCTCTCAGGTCTATCCCGCGCCCTTCTGCGTTTCCCTTGGCTCGTGCTGTGCTCGCTCACTTGACTGAACAATATATGAGGGACCTTACAGATGTCCTGACAGTTTCGTGATTTGTAGATCGCCTCTTCTGTTTTATCATTATGCCCACTGCGTGTGCTTTATATGCGCGCTGTTTCCCAGCGTCACTTCGTCGCGCGCAAGTGGTTGTTGGCGCGGGAGCTTTGTGCATGTTCGTTTCTGCGCTCATGGTCGCGCCTCTTCGTCGCCGCAGGATTGCATTTCGGATTGTTTCTGTTCGTCGCATGCCTGTCGGAGGGCTCAGTAACAGTGCGCACTGTGCTGCCAGCAAAGATTTGTCTTGCAATCTGATTGGCTTCGCCAGCGCACGTCCTGGCACGGGAGCTTGCGGGGCCATTGTAAAATTCACGAACTATGATCGAGCTCAGGGAGTGCCGCACATAATGTCACGGCTCAAGTCTCCCACCCTCGCCACCGTCAGTCTTTTTGAATCTGGATTGCTTCGTTGCTTCGCAACCTGTTCTTGTAGAACTCTCGCTAAAGCGGGGGCGGGCCTCTCCTGTCAGGAGCTTTGTGCATGCTCGTTTCTGCGCTCGCGGCCCCGCCTCTCGTCGCCGCGGCATTGTATTTCGCATTGTTTCTGCTCGTCGTATGCCTGGCGGAGAGCTCAGTAACAATGCGCGCTGTGCTGCCAGAGAAGATTTGTCTTACAATCTGATTGGCTTCGCCAGTGCACGTCCTGGCAGGGGAGCTTGCGGGGGCATTCCCAACGCCACCCGCCCCCCATCCGTGAAACCCTTTGCACATTTCAAAACGATTGTGCGCTGCGCTAAGGCGAAAGCCACATATTGAAAACGACCCGCCCTCAATCCGCGAAGCCTTTGCAAACGTCCAACACGAATGTGCAAGGATAATCATCTGCCTTCCATCTGTGAAGCTGTTGCCATTTCCTGAGCTTCAGAGTTATTGTGGTGGGGAAGTTTCACGCGACACGCCCGGCCCATCCTTTCGACCGGCCTCGGGGTGCGATTTTGACGAGTTGTTTATTAGGAAGTAGAGAGGGGGAGGTGGAGGCGGAGGGGGAGGAGGAGGACGAGTATAAACCCAAGACGCACCAACGATGTTGGAGTATTTTTCCCTCCAAGCTCCCTTCTTCACAGGCCCCTACAAGGGTTCAGTCCCGCAGGGAATTGCCTCGTTGGGGGGCAACCGTGCGAAAGCCCTGAAGCGTGCCAAAACACTGTTGTCATGATTTCAACGCCACCACTTGACCTGACCGTTACGTTTTGGCGATCCGGGATCGTGCCCGAACACCATTCCTCGGACTTCACCACCGCGACTCAAAGTAACTGTTGCGACCCGACAGTCCTGAATATTTCCAAGACGCAATTCTTGGTACGATGACCCTGGGAACCAGTGAAGCTCTTGCAGATGTTTAAAAAGGAATGTGCGCGGCACTCAGGCGAAAACCACATTTTGGAAAGGAACCGCCCTGAATCCGCACATTTCTTGCACATGTTTAACGAATGTGCGCGGTGATAAGGCGACAGGCACATTTTGAAAACGACCCGCCGTTACTTCGTGAACCTCTTGCAAACTTCCCAAGCGAATGTGCGCGGCGCTACGGCGAGAGCCACATGTTGAATTGTACCCGCCCACCATTTGTGAAACTGTTGTCGCGTTTTTAATCTTCCGAACCCTAAATGGTGAGACAATCTCAGGCGAAACGCCCAGCCCGCCCTTTCGACCGGCCTCGGGGTGAGACACGGAGAAGCTATCAATAACAAATTAACGGAGGAGGAGGAGGTGGAGGCGCAGGAGGAGGGGGAGGAAAGCGGTGATGATGATGATGTTGCTGATGATGATGATGATGATGATGATGATGATGATGACGATGCTGCTGCTGATGATGATGGTGGTGATGATGATGGTGGTGATGATGGTGGTGATGCTGATGATGAGGATGATGAAGATGATGCTGATGATGGTGATGGTGGTGGTGATGATGATGCTGGTGATGATGGTGGTGATAAAGATGATGAGGATGATGATGATGCTGGTGATGAAGATGAGGAGGAGGAGGGGAAGAAGAGGAGGAGGAGGAGGGGGACGATGATGAATGTTATGATGCTGATGAGGAGGATTATGCTGACGATGCTGATGCTGCTGATGATGATGATGATGGTGATGGTGAGGATGATAAGGAGGAGCAGGAGGATGATGATACATAGTAGCAACCATAGTAATCGTAATAGAATTATTAACCTTGCTAATACAACACATTTCAATAATAACCATAATAATGATAATAATGCGAACCAGAGTCATAATACTAAAACTACGAGCTCAATCGTATCCATATAAATAGTTTGATTGATCAGACTACGAATAATACGGCGCATACTAAGAACGCTCAGACGAAGCAGAGTCATAGCAACAACAAGACTAATACGTATACCAATCATAGCCATAGTATTGATGCTAAGAATAATACGGCGAATACGAATATGAACAATACTAACAACAACAATGATGCGAACATTACGAAGAACAACTACTACTACGAATAATAATAATAATAATAATAATAATAATAATAATAATGCAACTGTTAAGGATACTGAAAAGAGGAGGAGAAGGAGGAGGAGGAGGAGAAGGAGCAGGAGCAGAAGCAGGAGGAGGAGGAGGAGGAGGAGGAGGAAGAGAGAAGAGCTGGATTTTTTGGGCTTCGAATTTGTTTGTAATTTCGACTCTTCTTGGGCCTGTGGAGGCTCCTGCCGTCGAACGCATTCCTGGAGGAATGCGTTCCTCGAGGAGGGGCACTTTCCCTCACCTCGTCCAATTGCTGTCCACAGCCGGATGAGTGTCCCACAACGGTACCGAAGTCCAAGGGATTTCGGATCGGACGGCCCCTCACCTCCACCACGGTATCTTCGGGCAGTTTTGTTTGTCGTTTCGGCTCTTCTTGGGCCTTTAGAGGCTCCTGTCGAACGCGCCCCTGGAGGAATGCGCCCCTGGAGGAGGGACACTTTCCCTCCACTCCTCTTCTCCTCGTTCTGTTTTCCCTCCTCTCTCTCTCTCTCTTTCTCCTCCCTCCTCCCTCCTCGTCCCTCCCCCCCGCGCGGGCGCTTCCGCGCGCGCGCCAGCGCGCGTGCGGGGGAGGGAGGAGGAGGAGGAGGAGGAGGAGGAGGAGGAGGAGGAGGAGGAGGAGGAGGAGGAGGAGGAGGAGGAGGAGGAGAAGAAGGAAGGGAGGAGAACACGATATGATAGGATCGGATCGGATAGGATAGGATATGATATGATAAGGTATGATAGGATAGGATCTGATATGATCAGCCTCAGAAGAGGAACGTGCCCGCGGGCACCCCATCAGGCCTGGGGAAGGGAACGAGGGCGCCGAAGAGGAAGGACATGAGGGGGAGGACGGCCCGATGGGGCATTATCGCCCTCCCCCACCGCTCCAGAGCTGCAGCCACCGCCCCAGCCTCGAACGGCTCCCTCGCGAACGCAGCAGGCCGCCGCTGCGCGCTTCGCCAGCTCGGCCTCGAATGACTTCGTGCAGCCATGGGGAATGCCTGGCCCTTTGAGCTTCATCACGGCCCCGAGCTCCTGCGCCGCCGTCCCCCGCGCCACAGCTGCGCCGTTCCCAGGCTCCGCCAAGCCTTCCCACGCCAATGCCGCGGCGCCTCAAGACGCAGGTGCCGCCACCGCGGGCACCGTCGCCTGTCGCGCCGCCACCGCCTCCGCACGGCCGCGAGGGTCCCGACCGCCATCGCCAGCAGCCGCCAAAAGGGCCGCCTTCATGAGGCTGTCGGCCCAGCTGTCGTCGGGCAGCTCCCCGTCCGTGACGTCGTCCAGCGCCATCGCATCGCCGTGCTCGTCCGCACAGATGCGCTTTGGCTCCCGCCGATTTACGCGGTTGCGCTGGTGGCGAAAACGCCGAGCTCCGTGCCGAAAAGAACCATGGTGTCGCCCAGCCACGCCCGCGCCCGTCGCCACCTCTTTCTCGAGCTCGGCTGTCGCGCCGGCGTGGCCCGCCGCACGCTCGCGTGCCAGGCCGCCCGTCACCGCCGCCGCCACCGCCTGCACAGTTCTCCGAGGGACCTTCGCGAGAATCGCGGCGCGAACCGTAGCGCCGAGCAGCGCCGCAGGGTTCCCGCCAGCAGTCGTTCGTGTGTTTCTCAGGTACGGGGCCCAGTGAACCAGGAATCGCTTGAGCCAAAATGATGAGGCAAGGGAGTGGGAGGAGGAGGAGGAGGAGGAGGACCAGTGTAAACAAAAGGCTCATCAACGATGTTGAAATACACCCTCCCTCCACGATCCCTCTTCATAGGCCACTGCAACGGATCATTTCCATTGAGGGACTTGCCCCGTTGATTGACAGCCGACTGAACATCCTGAAGCGTGCCAAGCCACAATTCTCAGGACATCAACGCCACAAGT